AGTACCAACTTTAACATAAAATACGGACCTCACTAAAAGTTAGGTTTAAGTACCAACTTTAATATAAAGTACATACCTTACTAAAAGTTAGGTTTAAGTACCAACTTTAATATAAAATATGGACCTCACTAAAATTTAGGTTTAAGTACCAACTTTAATATAAAATATGGACCTCACTAAAAGTTAGGTTTAAGTACCAACTTTAATATAAAGTACATACATTACTAAAAGTTAGGTTTAAATACCAACTTTAATATAAAATATGGACTACACTAAAAGTTAGGTTTAAGTATCAACTTTAATATAAATTTAGACCTTACTAAAAGTTAGGTTTATGTACCAACTTTAATATAAAGATGCACACAGTGAGCTGAAGAAGAAAACATGTAATTGTTTTACTTGTAGAGATTAATCTATAAGAGAGTTTTTAATTTAAGCAAGCATAAACTTAAGTGATTATCCCTGAGCACCTAAAGTAGCCTAAATTAATGATTAGATATATAAACTGTACATAACCTCTATATACAAACAGTAGATAAGTATTATAGGTTACATGGCATTTGTTTCTGGTTCTATACAAGCTACAGATAGCTTGTTTACAAGTTATAAATATCTTCTTCAACAGTTGTAGGAAGTTTGAATACCTACCTGGAAAATACAAACTTCTGTACCATTTGTAAGTGTTTTTATACTAACTATAGACAGCATCTTTACCAGCTGTAGGTAAGTTCTGTACCAGCTATATATAGCTTCTTACACCAACTGAAGGTAGATTATATACCAGCTATATATAGCTTCTCACACCAGCTGTAGGTAGGTTCTCTACCAGCTATACATAGCTTCCTACACCAACTGTAGGTATGTTCTATACCAACTATATATATATAGTTTCTTACACCAGCTGTACGTAGGTAATGTAAAAGCTATATATAGCTTCTCACTCCAGCTGTAGATAATATATATAGCTGGTATAAAACCTACCTACAGCTGGTTTGAGAAGCTGTATATAGCTGGTACAGTACCTACCTACAGGTGGTGTGAGAAACTATATATAGTTGGTATAGAACCGCTTCTCAAACCAGCTGCAGGTAGTTTTATACCAGCTATATATATAGCTTCTCACACCAGCTGCAGGTATTTCTATACCAGCTATATATATAGCTTCTCGCAACAGCTGTAGGTAGGTTTTACACCAGCTGTATATAGGTTCTCAAACCAGCTGCAGGTAGTTTTATACCAGCTATATATAGCTTCTCGCAATAACTGTAGGTAGGTTTTATACCAGCTGTATATAGGTTCTTACACTAGTTGTAGATAGATTAATTACCAGTTGTATATAGCTTCTTACACCACCTGTAGGTAGATTATATAACACTGTAAATAGATTTTGTATTAGTCCTGAATATACTCCATACAAGTAAATACGCCAGGTGTTTTGAGATCTAAATGCAACGTACTGTGTACAATCAATCAAGTGGCAAAATATGATTTTTTCTGGTGTAGCAAATGTTATTAGACGTCACAAAGCTGTGTTTGTTTATAATTGTTTCTCTCTTGACAGGTTTGGAACAAGTTTCCTGTTAAAATATATAACTTTTCAACTGTTCTTTGGTTACCACCAGGTATTACTGGGTTATATACAATAAAGTGTTAACATTCGCTTTTTGGGTAAGTTAATTACGAGTGAAGCGTTAACACTACTATTAGGCTAGCTGTGGGTGAAATATTTACCCTGCTATTAGACTAGCTATAGGGGAAATTTGTATATATATTTGTGTAAGGATGAAATGTTAGCATCGTTATTAGGCTAGCTACGGGTGGTGTGTTAAATGCTAACATTGCTATTAGGACAAATACGAGTGAAGTTTTAACACTTTTTTTGGGGGAGCTGTGAACGAAGTGTTAAAGTGTCATTGGGCCAGCCGAGAGTGAAGTGGTGATACTCATAATTTTGTGAGGTGTTTAATCATTCTTGTTGCCTTATAATGTGTAATTACTAGTGGGAATGCACGAGTTTCCCACCGTTTCTAGTATATGAAACTGTGGACCATCAGTTATGGGGACATACTAAAATACGGTGATCGCCCAAACCGGTTCTGGAGATCTACTAATAATACACTACCGAATAACAATGGAAAACTTAATTAAGACAACCTGTAAGAAAGCGGCAAATCCCAAAGTACTGGGGAGTACGAGAAGGAACTTATCATTATTGCTAAACGTGAGAGGGCCTTGGTGCATCGAGAAACCAAGTTAAGTTATAACAGTTGTGTCAGTAAAATAAATATGATTTTACAAAAAATATCAAGTTAATCAAACACGAATACTTACAAACAGCATACGTAAAACGTCTTCGATGTCTAAGTAAAGTATTATGGGCATACTGTACTGTACAAAACTAAAAGCCCCCCCCCCCCCACAGTGGCACAGCGGTATGTCTGCGGACTTACAACGCTAGAATCCAGGTTTCGATAACCGTGGTGGGCAGAGCACAGATAGCCCATTGTGTAGCTTTGTGCTTAATTACAAACAAACAAACAAAACTAAAAATAAAAAGCTTATATTTTTTATTTAGATATTTCACCAGTTACTAAATAAATTATTACGATATTTAAATAACCCAAAAAGAAATATCAACAAGAAGATCGCGCTTTTAAGTGAGAAAAAAATGAGGAAATATTGTAGACAAATATCAACTTTTAAAATATTATAACTGATATTTAATATCATGTGTCTTCTTTATGGACAAGCAAAATAAAAAATGACTTTATATACTTTATTCCGTTAATTTGATTTCAATCCAAGCCTTAATTCAAAACTGTTAGGGCTATTTCGAAAAATAGTGCATTGCTAGATATTCTCAGTGAAGATTTTCTTGAGCTCAGACTTCTCCTCCTCCCCCATCTTCACGGCTACCAGATGTTTCAGAGGTCCAACCACAAATTCAAGTTTCTTCTTTGGGACTCGTTAAAGTTCTCAAAGATACATATTACTTATTAAACCTAATAACTGTTCTACACAAACTATCTCCCACAAAAGCATACAATAGATTCTCCTGCTAGCAAAAGAATACATAAAACACCGAATCTAAGAATGTGAGGTCACATACGAGCTCCGCAGAGTGAAAATGTGACATTGTAGATATCTCATTACCCCCAGAAAAACAAAACTGGTAATATCTAAGAAAAACCGGGATTTTCAGTCGTGCTTTTGTGATTTTATGACGATATAAGCGGCAGCCAATAAATGGTTTAAATTGTTGATTATATGAAAATAATCTTGCCTCTAAAGTTACTTGATACATTTGGAACACATGCAATTTTCTCAGAATATTTTCTGAATACCCTGAACATCCCACACGCTCGTTTTGTTTTAAAGATGAAGGGGGGCAACAAAGTGGTTAGTGTGACTAAGTTATGGATCAGGGAAATCGTGGTTCGTGTTCCGTTGCAATTTGGAGTCTTGAGTTCGTAGTAAGAGTGAGTGTCAAATTCCACTATTTGATCAGACAAGAGTAGGTGGTGGGTGCTGTTGTTGACTAACAGCTTTTCCTTTAGTCTATCATTTTAAAATTAGGGACAGATACGCGCAAATAACCCTTGCGTAGATTTGCGCGAAAGTACTAAATAAATAATCCTTTTTTGTCTTATATAACTCTGTTGAATTTTTCGGAAAGTAAATTCGTAGAGGTATGTTTAGAAGTTCTTGTATAACGGTAGTACATACAGATTAACAAAACCTAACTCAGGGCAGGGTACATCATCTCGAATCAGAACAAGAGCATTTTTTATCTCACCAGGTGACACTGAATTTTTATATAGATCTGTGTCTTATACTAATTTTATACCACAAAAAACACAGAAGAAATGAACATTTACTGCTACCCAAGTAGCTGTACTTTATTTAGTGTGTATCATTAGAATAAATCCTTCTGGAGCTGAGACGTTTTACTGACAGTATATTATAATATTACTTCCATATCTAAAGTATACAATTGATTTTATCCATAAGTCATTATAGCAAATAACTAACTACAAAAATTACCCTGTAAAGTTCACAAGTAACAATAACAATTACTATTTACATGAGATGTTCAGATATAATTTGACGTTCAATAATCAACATTATAATGTTACTTAGTCGGTCTCACATTATTACACTTTTGTACTTTTAACCTTCAAACAACGTTAATTTTACAAAAATTATTGATTTAATACTGAAAAGGAAGTTTTAAGTTAAATACATATCAATTCCTCCTTCAATAAGTTTACAGAATCGACAAATGATTTCACTAATTAATAGGAATTGTACAAAATTAGTGATGATGACAAGCATTGGAATGTATAAACACTGTTATTAAAAAGGAGAAGCGTTTAAAACGATTGGTTTTTGCAGTGTTAGAAATAATTTCGTAGCCATAAACTATTTCAATTATTTTAATAAAGCCTGAAATAATTAAAAATATATATACATAATTTCTTTGTCAAAGAATGTCTTTGAAATTGCCTTTTAAAATAAATATGCTACACTTTATAAGAAATATGCATTGGCTGTACCATTACACATATCAATACTAAATAGTATGCTACTACTACTACTGTCTTTGGCCCCCCCCCCAAAAAAGTCCGACCCGACAGATATAGCTATAGTTCTCCCACAGGTTATGAGAATTTTAAATAGCTATGCAACCTAATCGTTAGTATTATTAACAATGAACTGGAACAAAAATATAAAAGATCTGACAATAAGTTTTCGATATAAACCGAAAAGTAGCATTATTTTGTAAAATCAATTGTGTTTAGACGATACGAATATTGTGCTTTTGTGGAGCATATGCATAACATTTCGGAGAAACCTACCTTACATTATTTAGTCACCCTCATGTTAACGTGTTACAAAATGTCATTTATAGAAATCAAAAACAATAACAGATTTTGAGAGGTAATATAATGTATATGTATATATATACAGAGAGAGAGAGAGACCCATAAACACACAAGTATACGTGTATACAATATGCATACGACATATAAAACACTCCACAGCTTCTTAAAACACGACAATAAACAACTAATTATCCCATTTGAGGTCACGTTTGTGAATTAAACTAAATAAAGAAAACAATAAGCATTTGAGGCAACCTATAAAGATATATAATATAACCATAAACACTGTTTTTTCTCCCTTTATTTTCCTGGTACAGCTATTGATAAGTAAATTTCACTAAGCATTAACTTAAACTCGTAAGTCCTGCTTTTACCTATTTTCGGATTTTGAAACTATGCGTTGAAAAAGTAAACTACTTTGTTGCATTTACCTGTGAAACTTCTCTGCAATTACTAAAGAAGGAAAAATTTGATTGATTTATATAAAAAAAAGCTGTTAGAGCATTTTACTCACTAATCTAAGTGCTATGATTTTACTTGTTCAAGTATTCCTCTGATAGAGACAGACCTCAGAGTTGATAAGCTTTTGGAGTCAGTCATAATTGATGTCACCCTCGGGTCTGTAAGAAACCCCGTGTTGTCGTTTGCTAACATGAATTATAATTTTTTATCAAAATCGGAATAGAAAAAAGCCTTTGCCTTTAATGTCTGATGTATATCTTATCATCATACATTAATGTTATGGATGGGACATCAGAGAAATATTACTTTATTTAAAACAAACAACATGCATCTCCTTGTTTTGCTTCAAAACATACTTACCAAAATTAGAAATGCATATATAGATAAAAAACATTTTTGGATGACTCAAACATCATACCTTATCAGACTAGTAAATAAATGAAACGTCGAAACAATTTCAAAAATTGTTCAATTAGGTAAAGTACTATAATTTGGGTTTTCTAATATACGTCTTGATTTTTAAGTTTAAGTGTTTAATATACACTTTGGACGCATTAGTAAAGCTGCTTTACACGATTAGCATTTTTCAGGTAGTGACTAAATTGTATTTAATCTTGTCATCTTATAAACGGACATGACGTCATTCTACTAGTGCCAGTCACGAGAGAAACATTTTGCTGCTGTGTTCACAAACATTGTTCCCTAGGAAACCCATTTAATTGCTTGTCTTTCTTTAATTAATGACATGCAAGCTAGACTGTTTCATTCTGAGCTTGAAAAACGTCAATCTTTCCATATTCAACAGCAACACCATCTATGGACAGAAAGAAAAACAATACGAAAGCTGCAGTTTATGCTAACATAAACATATAAGCACCCTTTAAATAAACAAAGATATACAGTCCAATTACAGTACCAGACGAGTAGCAGAAGGTATTATGCGATTGGCTAGATACCTGAGCTACGTTCCTAATATAGATTTTCATATTTATCAGTATTTTAATTATTAGTATGCCGAATAATTCTTCACATTAAACAGAGAAACACGGAGAGGTCATGTACGTGCTAATAACTCAGGCAGGATTGATAACCCTACTATGATTACAAACCAATATACTTGTACAAAAAAATGAAAACAAACACGAGTAAAAGAGACTAGACTGTTTCTACCTTATACATATTTAGTTATTAATACGTCAACTTTGTATATTTCATTAAACTTAATACATAATTATGATTTATTTAATTTTTCTTTTGTTTTTCATAATTTTTTTTCACAGGCAGCAAAAAGATGTTTGGTTAAGAATTCATAACGTTACAGTCTTGCTTTTTACATAAGTTTTATAATCGAATACAAATTATTCTAATGAAAGCAGTATCGCGTGTATAAGAATGTCTTAAAAGATATATTTATTTAAAGATTTTTACTGATTTCATCTTCACTGGAATTGGTTATTAAAGGCGGCCGATCGTTTTCGTTCCAGTAGAGTGATTCCTCGTCTGTTCTTAGCTCCAGGTATTCCTATGAAACAAACCACATTTTCCCCAAATGTTCCACAATAATTTTTAATTTCATGTTGAGATTATGTTTTCAAATAAACAATGATTAATTTTAACAGGCCCCTCACGAGCCAGTGGGTGACATTTTCGTTAAAAATATAAAAAAATAACCTACCCAATCCGGTTTTTCTTAATTTTAATTCAAATTTTTTGGACATTTTATTTAACTAAAAAGAAGACATTTCCTGCACTCATTTAGCGCTGGGGCTACGAAAAGTGATTTGAAGTGATAAAGTCATTAAAATCTGTCAGCGCATCACGAGCTTAATGGCCAAGCACAAGAAGCATGGAAGTCTCCAAATGACATGCAGCGGTATTCAGGAACCGCTTAGAACCACCTTGATATATGTTGTCCAGCAAGCCGAATACAATATTATGCCTGTAGTTGCTTTCAAGGTGTTCCTGTCTGTTCATCCTACTGCTGACTATCGTGATGCTTTGACCTTCTCTACCGAATCGCAGGTGAACTCGTTCATATCTCAATTGAAAGCTAAACATAAAATGGTGATAGCAGAAGCATAAAAGGTTGGCAATTGCTGAGAATATGGCTTTATGGATATATACTGAATTTACTCCCAGCGGGTAGACCTTAGTACTAGCTAGAATGGAGACTTGAAGATGCTGTAGTTCACTGAAAATTTTATCAATTAACAAACGAAAACTTGTTTCGAAATTGTCTCGAAAAGATACGTCCAAAACCACCTTCTTTGAGAGTTTTCGCATTGAACTTACTTTTAATATTCAACAAACTGTAGTGTAAAGATACCCCTTGGCTCCTGAGGGGCGTGTTGAATCAAATTATTCCTAATCTGTATTCCATTAGGTCAAGATTTGTTAATTAGGAAGTAAAATTGTAAACAAAATGGCAGTTGTTTTCAATTTAACTTGAATATACATAAAAAAAATCACCAAAACAAACGTTAAAAAGCAATGCCAACAAAATATTCTAACAAATAGAAAAAAAATAACGAAAGATTATGTTTATTTTTCACAATGTATTCATACAACAGACAACCATAATCACGGTTTAAAAAATTGAGAGGAGACTCAGCGATAAGTATGAAGGCTTATAACGCTAAAATCGGGTTTTGATAACCGCGGTGGGAATAGCACAGATAGTCCATTTAATAACAAACACGCTTTTTGGAAAACAAATCAAGTTAAATTCTATGTTCTTCACAATTGTTTCAATTTTTTTTCCATCACGGAAATAAAACATCATTTTGTAAAAACATAAAACAAAAAAATCAAAAACGCGTGTTCAAAAAAATATTTTTAATAGAACATTAAATACAAATGTGAAAAATAATGGTTGGAGACGGCTTGAATGGGTAATGAAGAAAAACTTATAATATAAGTTTAACATAACAGCA